GGGGGGGAGGAGTCAAGGGAGAAACGGAAATGGGGGTGGGGTCTTGGTGGGATCTCGGGGAGGGTCTGTGGGACCTCGAGGATCCACCCCAGGGACTCAGGGACCACCCCCAGAACTTCAGCCCCGCCCCCAGGACCTCCAGGACCTTCTGCAAGATCTTGGGGAGCGTCTGCAGGACCCCAAGAACCTTCAACGGAACTTCTGGGACCACCCCCGTACTCATCAACCTTGACCCCAAACTCCATCTCAACGACCCCAAACTCCATCCCAATGACCCTGAACTCCATCCCAATGACCCCAAACTCCATCCCAATGACCCCAACGTCCATCCCCATGACCCCAACACCAACGTACTCATCAACCTTGACCCCAAACTCCATCTCAACGACCCCAAACTCCATCCCAATGACCCTGAACTCCATCCCAATGACCCCAAACTCCATCCCAATGACCCCAACGTCCATCCCCATGACCCCAACACCAACGTACTCATCAACCTTGACCCCAAACTCCATCTCAACGACCCCAAACTCCATCCCAATGACCCTGAACTCCATCCCAATGACCCCAAACTCAACCTCCACGTCCCCACCACCAACTTCCCCACCAACCACGACCCCAAACTCAACAACCTTGACCCCAATGTCCAACCCAATGACCCCAAACTCCACCCTGATGACCCCAACCTCCATCTCTACATCTCCAACTCCAACTTACTCAACAACCTTGACCCCAAACTTCATCCCAATGACCTCAAAGTCCTCCCTGATGACCCCAGCGTCCATCTCTACTTCTCCACCACCACTGTACTCAACAATCTTGACCCAAAACTCCATCCTTATGATACTCCATCCTGTTGACCTCAGTGTCCATCTCTACATCTCCAACTCCAACTTGCTCAACAACCTTGACCCCAAAGTCCATCCCAATGACTCCAACGTCCATCTCCATGACCTCATTGTCCATCTCCATGTCCCCACCACCAACCTACTCAACAACCTTGACCCCAAACTCCATTCCAATGACCCCAAACTCCATCTCTACATCTCCAGCTCCAACCTACTCAACAACCTTGACCCCAAACTCCATCCCAATGACCCCAAACTCCATCCCAATGACCCCAAACTCCATCCCAATGACCCCAAACTCCATCCCAATGACCCCAACGTCCATCCCCATGACCCCAACACCAACGTACTCATCAACCTTGACCCCAAACTCCATCTCAACGACCCCAAACTCCATCCCAATGACCCTGAACTCCATCCCAATGACCCCAAACTCCATCCTGATGACCCCAACGTCCATCCCCATGACCTCACCACCACCATACTCAAGAACCTTGACCCCAATGTCCATCCTAGTGACCCCAAACTGCATCCCAATGACCCCAACATCCATCTCCATGACCTCAGTGTCCATCTCTACATCTCCAACTCCAACTTGCTCAACAACCTTGACCCCAAAGTCCATCTCAATGCCCCCAAACTCCATCCTGTTGACCTCAGTGTCCATCTCTACCTCCCCAACACCAACGTACTCAACAACATTGACCCCAAACTCCATCCCAATGACCCCAAACTCCATCCTGATGACCCCAACATCCATCTCCATGACCTCAGTGTCCATCTCTACCTCCCCAACACCAACGTACTCAACAACATTGACCCCAAACTCCATCCCAATGACCCCAAACTCCACCTCCACATCCCCACCACCAACTTACCCACCAACCACGACCCCAAACTCCATCCTGATGACCCCAAACTCCATCTCTACATCTCCAACTCCAACTTACTCAACAATCTTGACCCCAAACTCCATCCCAATGACCCCAACACCAACATACTCAACAAACTTGACCCCAACCTCCATTCTGATGACGCCAAACTCCAACCCAATGACCCCAACCTCCATCTCTACGTCCTCACCAC